GCTGAGTAGGCCTGGTTTCTTTCTCCACTAAAGAATTGATCAGGCTTTATGAGCGCATGAAGTTTTTTCACACCTTTTTTCAAGACTTGGGATTTTTTCTTCTAGTCAAAGGCAATTTGAAGCTTTTAGATTTCAAATTTTCAGATGTCGGACGATCTTTCTTATTCAAACCCCGAAGAAGAGTCAGAAATAAAATTTCATTATGTATTACGTACTTCATTAATTCCAAGAAGACGTTTTAGCTATGTTTTTTTGGAAACAAAGACTATGGTGAGATTTTTAATGGAATAAAAACAGACTTAAAGGTGGCCTATCTTGTAGCTCGTGTGCACAATATTGTGTATTGTGTAGAATGCAAAGATTGTGCTAACATTTACGTGGGACAAACAGGGAACGAAGTAGGCATTAGAATGAACCAGCATGAGAAGAAAATAGAAAATGATGATTTGTTTTCAAAAATATCTGTACATGTCACTGAAAATAATCGCACTGTAAATCTAGACGAACCCTGTATACTGGCATATGAAAAAAATGAAACTAAAAGACAAATAAAAGAGACATTACTGACGCACGAACAAAAAAAGTTAGCCTACAATGATATTTCATTAAAGACAGTGATATTCGTTTAGACAGTCTAATAACAGTCCAGAATAGAAAAATGTAACTGTCACTCGATTCTATACTACATATTTTTCTATGTTTAAGTTTCTCTAGTATTTTCGTTCTCCCCTGTTTCAACTAGTATATATATGCATCTCTCTTCTAAGTTCACAGTCATATTAGCCTGATGATGATACTGTGAAGTGTCGAAAGCTAGCTTTTTGTGTAAAATGATTTTACAAAAATGTTTTTCAATTATATTAAATACACTTAGTTTTATAAGAAACGTAAAAAAGTCAAAGAATGTCAATATATATAAAAATGATACATATATAATCTATTATTCATTTTATTATTATTCACTATTATTCACTTGCTCATCTTCCATTTGCTCACCAGGGTAAGTCGTTTCGCTCAAATTTTTTTTCATTTAGGTTTATTTTGGGATTTAATGGCAAAATTAACTATACCATTAAGTTTATCATTTATTGTGTTATTTTTTTTATTTGATTATTATGTTGAATGTAATTCCGATGTTTGTTCTGCATTGGATTCTTACCATTCATCGGTATTTACATGTTGTGGTGATTTTGATGCGGATAGTTGTGGAACAATAATCCATGATTGTGCTGCTATTAGTGATTTAGCGTCATTTTTTAGTGTAAATTTAACATCTGATGAAAGAAACGTTGTACGTGAATTGTTCAAAGTTGAGGACTTATATAAAAGCACTCAAAATCAAACATTTAATTTTTTTTTTATTTAAAACAATTAAAACAATCTGCAATGTATCCTTTTTATCTCTTTTTTATTCTAGTGCTAAGTTGAATCAATGTGTATATAAATTAAAAAATTCAAATGTAGATTCTTTTTTCTTTTCTTTTAAACTGTCATATTATGTATATAATACTATTTTACAAAAGTCTGCTGTTTTGGATTTTTTTGTACCATGTACTATTTTTCCTGTATTGGTATCTGATAGCTATATCAGTAATCATAGTGAAACAAATAATACGTTATTTGTTCATCATACACGTTTGTCTTTACCTAAATCATATATAGTAATGCTTGTTTTCTCTGTTGCTTCTTTCATTTTTTTTCTTGGTTTATCGTTTTATTGTTGTTTTAAAAAATCTACCTTTTTCACTACTTGTTGTTCTCTGTCCAAGCGTTCTTGTTCTCCTATTTCTTTTTCTCCTGCTCAAGAAAATTTTTTTTCTTTAACAGAAAACTTATAAAATTTGATTTTGATGGCTACTATTTCTTTAGTTTGTTCACCCATATCTTATTAGTGCATTTTTTTTTCTAAATACATTTGAATAATTTTGTGAAAATCAAAATGAGCATAAAGCATGAAAATACGGAAAAAACTCATCTGTGGTCCATAAAAGAGCCTTCACCATCCATAAAGGATGGTCTTCTCATCTGAAAAGCGATTCGTAGAAGAGGAAAGTGAGATTCAAAATAATTTCCCGTCTTGAAATCAACTGAAAGTCTTTTCGAGAAAAAACGGCTAATCAATCGAGTGACTGCAAAAGCAAAGTTAACCGGTCTTTAGTAATTATTTCTAATCAGAATGCAATTTCTCGATATGAATGAACATCCCTTATTTAAAAGGAACCAAAGTTTCCATTTAAGTTTAAATTATGATAACGAGAAAAAGATGTGCAAAGTTGGATTTAGTCAATCATTCAAAATGAGGAAAAATGAGATGTTTTCAAAATGAAGATTATTTTGTCAATCGCACAGTAAGAGAAACGTGACTTCTTTTATGCTATCAATGTATATACGTCAATTGAAATCGACATGTATATTTTGACCGGCTATATATAAACAATAGCTTTTACATCGACCTAAGAAAACACAGAAAAGAAAAAGAAACGAAAAAGAAAAAGAACGACAGAACGGAAAAAACACGCTGAAATTTACTATGAAAAATCACACAGTGGTGACCCCCTCAAAGTATAATTATAGGAACCCCGCTGTCGGATTCGCCATGAAATTCTGTATATATTCTCTTAATTTCATCAAATTTGGTGATGCGCGGCAAAAGTACATAATTTTCTAATGATTCAAATGTGAAATTATAACTGTAGCTAATTTCTGAGGATCTCGAGGTTTTTCGTTTTGCGTCTTATCACTTGATCGGCTCAATGAACGCTTAATTTTATTTTCTCTGGATAATTATTGTTAGACAAAAGTGTTCCGACTTTCTCGAAATCTTTTTTATTTTTCTTATTATTATTTGCAATATTAACTCTCCCGAATAAACATTAGCTATGGGAAAATTCTAGATACTTTTCGCCTCTAATCGGGTGCTGCACGACTAGTTGTCATTTAGATTACTAGTTAGAAAAGGAACTTTTAACTAGATACGTTTGCACGTGCAACTAGCAATAGTTAAATCGATCAATTATGGAGCGATGAATCGATAGCTGCAACTGAGGAAAAATCTAACAATCGTCCGATTACTAGCTTTCTACTGTCGTTACCCAATAGTTGCAGTCGAGTAAAAGTCGAGTAATCCTGATAAATTGGGCGATACTAGATTCTTTTTCATGCCTTGGCCTGTGTGTCATATTCTTAATAACATTATGTTTAATGGAAATGCAATGAACTGACATAAAATTTAACAATCGATTTGATGATTTCTGAAACCAACTTATTTTAAGCTCCATGGTGTTAGTATCGACGGTTATAAGGACATCGAGAAATGGCAAACTATGATTGTTTTCGTACTCTGTGTACTTTCGTGCCTATGTACTTTACTTTCAATGTAATCACTTATCTCTCTTGTGTTCCAGATGTAAGTTTTTTGTATAATTTAATTTTCAGTTTGCTACTGGTGAAGAGGTAGCGTACGTATATTCCGAAACGATCATCTATTAAATGTAAATATACGAAGTGAAAGTAATTTAAATCTTATTAAAAAAAGAGTAAATATCGATAGATACTATGATATGCAAACGAGGGGATACGACAGTCGCGCTATATCATTTTGGACAAGCCAAACTTCAAAATAAATGAAAAATTAAACAAAACCTTTGACTTGCTTTACTAGCGCCTAAGTTGATAGTTTTATTACAGCAACAAAATAAAAGAATCATAGACCATACTATCATTTACTAACTCATTTACTCTTGAACAAACTAAAATCATAATTGACCGTAGGAGGCAGACGAAGGTGCTTTCGATTTTCCACATGAAACCACATATCTTATACCTATAATTGCATTCGTTGCAATTGAAACCCAAACCATACGATTCGGTATTAATTCCATACCACTTGCTTGCCTTTTAAATTTCATAAAAAGCATACCACCAATAATGTATACAGCCACCAGACAGACGAATATAATTACTATGATACCTCCCGTCGATAGTTTCCCAGATGATTTTTTTGTTGGTTTATACGTACATTTTCCGGGACAAGCACATTTTGATTGAAATGAAAATACATAGGAATCGGTACCTGTTTGTGTTGCACTTTGTTTTTCCTCGTTTTCATTACAACGAAAAGTTACTGTTAAATGCTGTATACCTCCGTCCGTGTACGATAGTTGAGTGATACTCTTGTCATATTGAAATTGAACATTATCCTGATTGGCAATTAATTTTGATACTGTAGTAGGTAAATCCTCTAATGAGATGTACATAAAATTTAGTTCAGATTTTCCAGAGAGCCCCTCAAAGACCTAGGCGACAAAATTTAGCACAAAGCAATTTTTTCGATCTCATCCATAGTTTTTGATGGGTGTTGAATATTACCGAAAAACTTCATTTAGTTTAATAACAGATGGGCACATGACAGAAACACATTTTATTGGAAAGTGTCTTAGCCCAAGTTCCTTCATCTGGGGTAAAAAATTAAATATTGTCACGGTGGTCCGAAGTACCAACTATCTATGTATGGTGTGCTTTTCCAGAAATTCAAGCCGGCTTTCCAAAGATCCTGTAGGAGCTAGTGCACGAGAGTCACAACAAGCCATGCTCAATGAATTTTTCAGATTTGACTGTGACTAGTGTCATCTTGTAGAGCATATTCGAAAACCTGTAAATCCAAGTTTTTAGCTTTCTTGATCTTTTCTTTTTGTAGATACGAGAATTTTTTGCAAACGACATTGTGCGAGAAAATAAATGGGTAAAAAACATAAAGTCGATATATCTTGAGAACGCAAAGAGATAGGATCAAGATTTTTCAGCGTATATAGTACTCAATGTCGACTATATATAGTCGACATTGAGTACTATATACGCTGAAAAAATCTTGATCCTATCTCTTTGCGTTCTCAAGATATATCGACTTTATGTTTTTTACCCATTTATTTTCTCGCACAATGTCGTTTGCAAAAAATTCTCGTATCTACAGAAAGAAAAGATCAAGAAAATTAAAAACTTGGCTTTACAGGTTCTCGATTTTGAAATTCGGAATTTCACAATTCGATTTTGGAATTCTCTCAAAGCCATTTGTTCCGTGCCAAAAAACATGTCTTAAAGTCTTGATTATACACCGGTGAAAACCGCAGTCTTTAGCTATTATCTATCAAAAGTTACTCAAAAAATAACTGCGGTTATTTTATTTTGGTGTCAAGGAGACACTAATTTCTGAGTTCACTTTCCTATACATTACAATACGTACTTTTACAAGCTGCTGCATTTTGACACTGATCTTGATTGTATGAAAAGCAACCATTGTAAGAGTATGTAGCAAGTAAATGAGGATTTTGATCCGGTATATCATGAAATTTTGGTGAATGTGGATTGCCTAATGTACGAATATCAAGTTTTCCGTCAGGTGTATTATAAACACATGACTCAGCATTTACCGATTGATTACGATGAAGTAGCCAACGGATCATGATGATGATGATTGAGAACTGTGTTGACAGAAATGCCGTCATAATTTATACTCAGTTTACTAAATCTGTAAGTGTAAAGTGTACCAAAAAAATATTTATGTTTTTTAATTTTTTACACGAGGAGAAGAAAAGATAAAGATATTAAAAGGTATAGGTAAACTATAAGTCATTGCAGAGCAACTGGTAAAGAAGAATTTTACCTATGTAAGCAAGAACTGACACACATTGACTCATTTTTTATTTTAATTTTAAAATACATAAATAAATTGATGTGGTGGTCTTAGCTTTCATATAATTTTAGATACTTTAGACCAATATTAAGTGAAAATAACAATCGCAACTGACCTGACCGCGCCAGCTCGCTACACACTCCCAGGACGGTGACAATGATGGAAAAAATGTATAAATGACTCAGTTACATGTTATTGATAGCACATTTATGTATCAGTTTTTAGACCATTATAAGATTATAATCAGAGTCCTTCTTACCGCATTTACGATATCATAGTTAGACTTTCCTTACGTCATTTTTGTATAGTCTAATTATGATGATTTAGGATCATACAATTATGATCATGTCTATAGAATGTTTACATTATTTATGACACATATTTAGGCTACTTAGGTAATAATCGAGTAACTGCTGCAATCGATGATCATAATTAGGTCATTTTTACATTATTATGTCACATAAATAAATCATTTGCTTACCACCAAATAACTTAATTATGACGTTAAAATGAGACCACCGGTATTTGTATCATTTTATACCGTACTTAGATCATAAATGATAAGGAAAGAAAAGAAAAATAAAGAAATAAAGATCCTGCAGAGCGTTGATCTCCGTAACTAAAGAGCTGACCTAAGAAAAGTTTTCTAGGAAATAGATTTGAGAATGAGAAATGAATTTTTCACACATTTCCATTCGATCCAATAAAGAGCTCGCCCAGCCTAGAAGCTTCTGAACAAAATGAGATATTACTAATAGTTTTTCAATTTTGCTAAACCATAAATTCAACAACCTAAAAATTAGGCTTTTACAGTAAACCATTTTTGCTTGAACATCTGTTATTTTCTCACCTTTTTAAAGTAATCGCTAAAATTATGAGTAATAGCTCATTTTGTTTCTCTCATGCAATTGCTCCCAGTCTTACATTTAAGCGACCGAACAAAGATACAGTGAAGCAAAATAATTTTTCTCAGCAATCAGAAGAAATTCAAAAATCCGCACCTTCAGTTTTGTAGCTTCCTACATGTTATTGGTCGTTTGGTATTAAAATTAATTTTTCTCATTTTTATTACAGCCTTTTGTAAAAATAAGATAATATTCTTGATCCTCGGACAAAGTAAAATCGAAGGGTATATTATACAAACATAGAAAACGAAAAAGCAATCAGTCTCGGACTCTGACTATACAAATTTCAGAAACAATTTTGCAACCCAATGTAGTTTTTTCTTTGAAAAAATGAAGGCGATTTTTGCACTTCATTAGTACCGCCATTAAACTAGCTGTAAAACTTCAAATGTTTTTTTCCATCGTGATTTGTCACTGAGAAAGTTCGACGATTTAAATTGTGTTGCTAGATAGAGTTAAGTATCAGGCAATTTTATTTCTTTTTCAGTAGCACTGTGTTTCTTTGACCTGCTATAGAAGTTTTAGTGAAGCGTATGAAGAATGAAAATTTCAAATGTGGGTTGAAAAATATTTCTTTCTCAAACAACAACCATGTTCTTTTAATTCTTTTATCGCCAGGTTATAGCGCGTTTTCCACTCTCCAGAGTTCAGTGTAAAAACTATCTTCACTATACTTCCTTGCTGAGTTGATAAACTTTTTTTATCCCATGTCAGCAAATGGTCAAATCTTTTAAAAAGTTATTTTTTGAGAAACGATCATAGTTTCAAACGAAACATTATATATGGTTAGATGCGCAATAAAATTTTCTATCGAACCTGCTATTCAGCTTTTTGATACTTTCACATTTTTAAATCCGACAGAATTCGTTGCGCATTTCATTTAACTTAGAGTACTCTACCCAAAGAGCACACAAACGTAAATCTCTGTTTTGCTGGATCATGGAACATGTGATCATATTCATTACACAACAAGGAAATTTTCAGTTATATTCTTCAAATAACACAGTCGCTACATACAATGGTCACATTTCATTTGAAGACAATTCAAAATCTTTGCTCCTAATATTGCTAGATTATAGAAAAAAGGTAAGAACATACTGTACCTTCAAAAAATTTTGAAGAGATGTTTGGTTAACAATGAAAAAAGGTTATTTTCCATAATAAGTTCCAACAAAAAGAACAAGTCCACTGGTTTTTTCTCGAATTAAATATAGAAATGGTCGATTACAATTGAACACTATTTTTTCAAAAGGCAAACCCCTTGAGTCAATAGGAATTGCAGTTACAGCTGCTGCTGTCACCCCATTTTCGTCGACATTGATAAGTGCTTTATGAATTACCTTCGTAACGTAAAGAGAAGGCGGTTGACTTGGACTAATACCTGAAAGATTAGCTTTATTCACATCAAAAACATCAGTTACATTAATAGTTTGAAGTGATTTCTTCAAATTAAATGTTGATTGAGTTTTAAATTTTGGTAATGACAAAAATATAAGTGCTTCATTAACAGAGTTTAAAACACTTTTTAATATGTTTGAACTAAGTTGTTTCTGCACAGTTGTCAGTGTGACACCTTCATTTGGTAGAATAACAGTGAATACAAGCTGAAGATTTTTACTGTTTTTTGTAGTATTAAATGGAATTTCAACAACTTGTGCCTTAATACTGTCGGTTGCATTTATATAGGAAAAAGACTCTGTGATATGCATCATTTGAACATTCACAGTATTTGTGTTGGTTACTTGAAATGGCATTGTACTTGTTAAATCTTTCTCAAATTGTATGAGCCATTGAGCTTTAAAGTAAAGACAGTTGACAAGAATTAGACGAGTGTGCGAGTTAACGTCATTAGGTGAAATAATGTTTTTGATCAAATTTTTTGTTTCTTGTGAAACCCATTTATTAATCGTATTGGCAGCAGCATTTTGCATTGAAAAATCTATTGAAACAATAGTGGCGTTGTAGAAGGTACTTAGATCATGTTTATAATTCTGATAGAGTTGATATTTCTTTTGAACATATAGACGATCGGCTACAATCACTTGGGATTCAGAGAGCTTTCCAATCGCATTACTAATAATCTTCTTAGATTCAGTGTTCAATAGACCAATTGTCGTGGCATCGAGAGCAAAAAGCAATTGATCGAGAGTATTTGCTTTGGCGCCTGCTGCACACATGCTCAATGCTAGACCAATACTTGTTGGTGACCATATTGATGAACTATTTGGTGGATCAAGTAATTTTAATAGGCTTACAGCTAATTTCTGGTAGTTCTGATCTGAATTGGAATTGTAGGTTAGTGTGAAAACTAGGACCACTGAAATGAGTATTTTCATATTGTTTCGTTAAATTTTGTATAATAAGACAGTAATTTTTTCCTTCATTATAACGTGTTTACACATCAGTAGTTTTTATTAAGATGAGATATGTATATTGTTTATATAATGAAAGGATGGATGAAACATAATGATCATAGTTCGTCTAAGTCATACGATATGCGTCAAATCGTTTTTATACCTAACATGTAATAGCGCTTACGATTGTATGTAATTTGTAAAGTATTTGTTACACATGAGTAGTCTACTGTTAATTTCGAGGCAAACTGTGATGAACATCGGTTATGACTAGATATTGTCAATTTTACATTATATCTCTGATTGGTCTCTATGGTTGTTCTTATTCAGCAGATCTGCTCCGCTTATTAGTCTTGTTCAGTGTAGAAGGCGGACAAGCTGAGCGGCAACTAAAAACAAATCGCTTTTCAGGTTTTTCTTGAGTGACACTAGTTTGATAAGACTGCTAGCAAGCGTCGAAAACGGTATACCTAAATATACTGTCGTTTTGAAGAAATTTACGTCGAACATTCGATGCCTCCTCTTATCTTCTCTATATAATCGAGAGAAAGATAATTTTCATGATAAATTTACTTTCACTAATCAGTTAGTTTTCGATGACTTGAAATTTTTTCCATAACCATCTTTTTGTAAATGAACCATTTCATTCAGCAATAAACGAGTCCAGATACGTTCGTCACAATGTTCAGTTTCTGAACAAATAGCCCATTTCGACTCATTTTTCTAATATTTTATTTCTTTTTAGTGTTACAAGCCGTAGATGAAGTCATATTGCCAATGATTGCTGATGGAATTATTGTTAATGTTCATCATTGGGAGACAAACACATTCACAGAACTCATGTGAGATTTTTGTTTATACATTAGACATACATAGAGTGTTGCTCTTTTTTTATATAAATAGATTTCCTCCTTGTACCATATAAACTGTTGCTGCAGTGAAGACATTTGATCAGTTGATAATCAGTTTGAATAAAATATTTGGTTATGAAACAACAAAAAACTATATAAAGCCATTATCATCTGTATGTACAAAAGATAATTTCCCTCAACAAATAGAAATAAAATTATCGAAGTGGTCTAATATGTGAAATTGGTGTAATATGTATTTTAAACAAAAATAAAGCTGTGATTTTAGCGAATGTCTTTCTTTTAAGTTGGAAATTAGTATTACAAAATCCTGTGATTACTCGACTAGGTTTCGTGAAAACCTTTGCACAAATAATGGCTATTAATCTTTCTCTAACGCATTCACGCATCGATCGAACAAAAATAGTGAAAAAATTGTTTATGAATGTTCACAGGGAGAGTCCGAGACGTTCATACTAGATAAACCTTTTGAATATTTTTAAAATCGAAGCGTTTTTCAAAAACTTAGATCCTTCAAGTATTTTCAATTTTTAAAACATTAAAACACATATTTTCTGAATAAACTCGACGCGCTCTAACGAACTATGTGTAAAAAATGTAAAACTAAAAGCGTGCTAAGTTTTTGAATTTTCGACACCTTACCTACGAACGTCTTTGCATGCATTAACACGTTTCGAACGCAGCCAAACAGTAAATATTTCTCGTATTTTGTACGTCGTTTGCCTTTTAATGATCCCTGTGAGATCAAGGTCTCCTTAGAGTAATGGTTAAACCACAATTTCTATGAGTCTTTGGGAACTCTAAGGAAGGAACTCTCCTTTTCTTCTTCATGTGGTCAACACGTCTTTGGAGGATAGGAAAGACACACACATACAATAAAATATGACTGTTTTCAATATTGGGATAGGTTTAATGAGTGGTAAAAAACGAAATTTGGCATAACCTGAAAATCAAGATAATAAACAATCAAAAATGTCTTCATCACCGCAATTTGATACGACTTCAGGTACAACTGTTGCATCGGATGTAATTGGTTTACAGTTGCAGAGTTCTTTATTATCTACTAATCTTATTAATGACATGACAAGAATGATAATAATATCAAAATCATTTACTGACGCAATTGCGGGTATCATAGAAAATCAATTGAAACAATACGAGAATCGTATTAAACAATTAGAAGCAGAATTAAAGCAAATAAATGGTCATGTAGTTAAATCTCATTTGAAGCTAGATGGTTTAGATTAATATTCAAAGTGGCGTGATTTAATAATACACGGTATTCCATTTACACAGGGAGAAGATACATCACAAATAGTATTAGATCTGGCTAAATCTGTGGGTGTTAATTTGGATATTAAAGATTTTTATGCAACTCATCGCTTAGGATCACGTGGTAAGCAACATTCACCTATTATTGCGGCCTTTATACGTTATTCAGATAGACAGCAGTTATTTTCAAAACGGAAAGATCTTGGTAAAGGTATTAATAAACAAGTTTTTATAAATGAGCATTTACCATCGTTAAATCATCAACTGTTTATTTATGCTCGTCGTCATCTGGATAAAAAGAAAGTTATCACACGGAATGGGAGCGTAATGCTTCATATCTCTTTCTACTCTTCTTATGAACAAATTCAATTTTCTTCAGTCAGATTGTTTTTTTTCGTTATGTCTCCTTTTTTCTTCATTTTTTTACGCAACATATTCCATGGCTTTCGATTCGTCATCTCTTTCTTCTAATATACTAAACTGTCTGATATATGACAATTTTCTTTGCCATGAGTATTAGTCAAAACAACAAAATGACGACAGACTTGATTTTCTCTTCTATGAATATACACAGTGTTACATCGCAAATCGATGAAGCGTATGTGTCATTATAACAACCTGTTTTTCTTTCTGTAACTGAAACTTGGTTGGATCAAACAATAAACGATTTTGAAATTGTTCTACTCCGCTATCACCCTCCTATGCGATTGGATCGTAACAGAAAGAGTGGCGGCTGTGTGGTACTTATTCATAATGATTACCGCGTAACACGATTAACAGAATTTGAAGAATTATCTTTTGAGATTCTTTGTGTGCGTATTACACTCTCTTCACATAAGCATGTGACTATCTTTTCGTGCTACCGTCCACACCTCAGACCGATTCTAAAAAAATGCAGCCGTTTCTAACACATCTTAAAAATCTACAACGGAAGAGGAGAAAATCTGAAAATATAAATTACGTCATTCTTTTTGGTACGCCCGTTACTCGATGTGATATAAATAGGAATCAATGCAAGTTTACATCTTAATGTGCTATCTAATTGTTTGTTATTAAAAAGCATTATCTATCTTTATGCTGATATTAGAAAAATAAAGGTTTTCCCCTTTTGATAAATGTATGTATCACTTTATCTAAACTTTTAATATTATATTATATTAAGTTTTTTCTCTTTTGTGCAAATTTTCTCTATTCATTTGTAATCTTGGTCTATATTATATTTATATAGAAACAAAACTAAATGAATCCTTCTTGAGCAAATAAACAAAAAATATTCAGTTAAGAATAAGTATATACTAAATCGAAATCGATTATTCAGAAAAGTTACATCAAGCGTGTTGTCAGCGTGTAGCGCATGAGTCAAGTAGACCAAACATTTGTCTTCAAAATTATGCAAGAATGAGCTTGATTCGTTCATTTTCGGCTGAGCATTGATCATTTTACAAATAGATTTAAAATACACGTTGAGAAAGCCGAAAAGTGGCCTAAAATCTGAAAATATAAATTACGTCATTCTTTTTGGTACACCCATTACACGCTATATTCGTAAACGGATATATCTTCGAACTGTTTCGATCTAAAAGTTTGAAACTTGTGGTAAATGTAGTTTAAAATAGAGGCTCAATCCCCAAAACGTTTCAACCTTCTAGCTGTAAATCATAAGGACTAGTGAAGTTAGTGGCAGCATGAGTGTCGTCAAAATTTTGAATATTCAACATCTTGGCCATACTCATTTGGACTGAAACTCTATCTCTATCACAGATGTCATTGGAAGCATTTTGGACAAAATTTCAGCTAACTCAAACTTGTTTTAGCATTGAAATCGAAATTTCACTTTTCGAGGTAGGTGCACAGAAAGCAGACTTTCCATGAAATTTATTTTCATATCAGCAGTAACAAATGTTTCTAAAGTACTTTCATTTAAGACTAGTTAAGTCGTTAACTCTTTCAGTTGAGAGGTTAACATAAAATGTTCAAAGTCACAGTTTAAGTTTCACTTACACCGCAATAATACAGAATTTTCTCTGCCGAAGATAGGTGCCGAGAGCCGAGTGTTGTTCATTCGGAGAATTAATCGGTTAAGCAGCCGCTTCTTACCTAACAAAACTACAGAATGGTGTTTTTTGTAATTGAAATAATTTGTCTCTTTACCGCAGGGTGGTTGAATAGCTATGAGTCGAAGCGGTTCTCCTAACTTGTGATCCTTTGGGTTATTCTCAAAACATAGGTAAATAAAGTATCTTAAAAAGTTACAAGCTAAAGTAGTGAAATTCAAGTATACGACTACATTACGAATCTTCATTCCCAACTCTCTCAAGAAGAGGACTCACACATTTTTTCTGTAGGTTTTTCGAAATATCGCCATGGAACATATTGACAATGGACGAGCTATAAAATCATTAAGGGTAACTCCCTCTATTTGAAACAATTTCGGATGTTGAGCTGAGCATAGCCTAATGTAGAGGAAAGCGTGGGCGACAAAATGAGACCACTCCCACTACTCCACGACCTTTCTTCAAAAAGTCATGTATTTTTGAAGTTTTTCCTTCAAAGCCTAAAAAAACTCAATTTTTTAGTTTCATAAATTTTTCTGTTCTTTCCTGTACATTCAAAATTTTTTTTACACATAGTCTGATAGAAGAATGTGTTTTCTTCACAATGAGATGTTTTTCAGAATTTTCTGATGAGTTTTCGTGGAGATATAGCTAAGCATGGTGGTAAATGCTCTCGAAACAGTGACCTGTGTACAGAATGCGTTTTTCGAAAACAATTTTTTTCCTACCAGGCTTCATTATGTCACATTACGCCTCCCCTTAAATTTCATCCAATCGAGTTAAAAATTTTACCATAGGTACTCAAGGTCATAGTGCAAACGTAAAATTTTGAGTAGAATTTGAGCAGAAAAAGTAGAATTGTATTTCAGACCTTTCTTTACTGACTTATGGGGTTTCTAAAATTGAAAGACTTGGTTTTTGAGACGTTTTTCAGTATTTTCCCTATAACTCGATCAGGAAAGCTTTCAAAAAAATTTCCCAAAACCTATCTGTGCGGAATGACCTTGAGTACTTGTGGTAAAATTCTGAACTCGATTGGATGAAATTTGTCCGCGTAGCGACGTGAACGACGTTGTTTACAAAAAAAGTTTTCGGATGAGAAAATTGCGTTCAAAAGTTTAAAGTTTTAAAAATGCTGAAGCGTTTTCATCACTCAAGTTCTGGTGGCTGATATGCTATGTTCTACATCACCTTTACAATACAAATGCTACATTAACCAGATTTTGGCGGTTTTAAACCACGGCTCTACTGTAAAGAAACTATATGCTGACTGGGATTGAGCTATAATATCTCGATCGAGATATGTTTTTATATCCAAATTGCAATATGTAGCTCGATCGGGATATGCTTCCTGACTGCCAGATTGTACATCACATCAGGTTACCTTCGTGAGCAGGTTTCACTGAGTTATAAATATAAAAATCTCAGATTTTCATACAGCCAAAGTAAGGGTGATTCAGATATTTTTCCCTACAAAAAATTATAATTCAATGAAAACTTGTTTGTTAGCGAACGAAATGAGCTATCGAGATCGGATTTTCACATCGTGTAGCCAAGACCGAGGCAAATAATAATATCCAAAATTCAAAATTCTTGCGTGGATCTCTAAACGATTTCTAAGTGGATCTCTGGAAAACCAGATTATAGCTCCAAAGTTTCATACAGAAATCTATCAGTTTTTTTATATACAGATAGTCCAAGGCGTCCTCTACAAAATCAGATATAAGCGACGTCTAGATAATCCATACTTTGAGAGCTACGAGTTTTTTCTTTCAAGCCTTAGGATGCCTCTGCCGTTAGGTTTGGGACTGTCAGAAATGAGTGAAAACATAGGTTACCGTCTATGCTGAATCTCGTGGCAATATTTGTTTTTCAAAACAGCTTCAAAAGCCAAAAAAAAAAGTTTTATAAGAAACGTCTTATAAAACTAAGTATATTTAATCGAAAAACATTTTTGAAAAGATGTTTTCGATTATATTAAATATACTTAGAAACAGTTATATTTTGTTTACATATTCATTATGATGTAAGCCCAATCTCTATGTCACATTGCATCGAGGTATTTTACTTTTACTGAAACTGCGATTTTTGCTTCGGGGCTAGTTTTGAATGCTTCATAGGTTAGAAATCGTACATTATTAGTTGCTATACTGTTTTTCACGGCTATGAATTCAATGTTTATTTATTCATAATGATTCTTCGTATTTTGACTTTTATTATTATATTTTAGGGTTGTTTTACACATTTTATCTCCTATTGTTAAGATATATTTTCATTATTTCTCTTTCTATTACAGTACATTCTTCTTTGCGTCTACCGTAAGTAGTATTAATAAGTCTACCATTTTTGTGTTTCCAAGCCTATAGGCAAATAAATCAATTCAACTCAATGGCGTAACGATAAAAAGGGAGACTATTAGACCATAGCCTAATGGGATTTGAAAATATAATTCTTCTAGCTAAATTTTTTTGAAAATTAATTTTTAGTCCTGTGCTTGCTTTTTTGGTGTTTTCAGCGTAGCCTACAAGTTGATGCGGTTGACCTAAAAGACAAAATTCGTTATTGCGCCATTGATTCGATTCAGTCCCGCAAAGAAAAGAAAACTTCGGCGTACATGCATGTAGGTTTTTTCCTATGGTTTAACCGCTTTTTTCTTGTTCGAAAAACAATGCGCCGTTTTTTTCTTCTTCTAGTTAAAAAGAAAGCGATGGATTCCCATTCCTTCTGTTCTCTTTCCTATTTTTTATTCTCTATGTATAACTCATTTTTCCGTTACAAGCGACAGAAAGTCTACGCAATCGTTTTGACAGCTCACAAAAATGAGTCATAGATACAAAAAAAGAATGAGAAAGAGAACAGAATGAATGAGTATCAATCTCTTTCTTTTTAACTGACAGAAGTCTGTTCTGTCGTGTATTTATCATAATTTTCAGCATAATTGGTGTATATAAACACTTTCACTCCTTGTTCTGCCTCTTTCAGAAGAATTCAGTGGAGGAGTTACACAAAACTAATTTGATATAACGCCAGTTTCACTTCATAGCTGATATTTCTGTTTCTTTTACAGATTTTGTTGTGAAATGGGAAACGCCCCTGCCGCTGTTCCACAAAGTAATATTCAATTACTAACTAGAATCGAATCACTCACCGGCTACAGATTTAAAAATCTACAGTTATTAGAACAAGCATTCACACATGATAGTGTGCGTGTTGGAAATCGTAATGCTGCAACATATCAACGTCTAGAATTTTTGGGCGATAGTGTATTGCATTATATTATTACTGAGTATTTGTATCAACAAAGACCAACGGCAAATGAGGGCGAACTTACAAGAGCACGATCAAATTTGGTAGACAAAGTAAAACAAAGTGAAATAGCAAGCACTCATGGGTTAGCAGACTTAGTTGATTTTGCACCGGGTGTTGATAGGACAAAATTTTTGGGTAATCATAAATTCGTTGAAGCTCTCATCGGTGCAATCCATCAAGATGGCGGAGTAGAACAAGCGAAAAGATCAGTTTATAAACTATGGAACCTTACATAGAGTACTAATAAAACAATCTACTGAATGTTATCTATACATTTTTTTCTTTATGTGAATAAATAGCTAACCGATGAAACATACTTTATCGATCAGACAAGAAACAACTTTCTTCATTCGATCCTAATCTCCAATAATACAGCATTTATATATTATTTTTTCTAATTCATAATTTTTAATATTTTTCGTCGTATTAAACTCATTTTCAATTAAAATTTCTTCAAAATGTATAAATTTTATTTTAATTAATTCATTTAGGTCAATATCATTATTTGACATTATATACCCAAGCAAAAAAATGCCTTTTGAGATTATCTAGCTATAAAAATATGTTATCGGGCAATATCCCGTACCACTTTTATTGAGTTAGCTAGCTATATCGAGTATGATAGCTAGCGACTAGATATCGTACCCGATATATCGGGTTGACGAAAAACACTGATCAGAGTAGCTATTTAGTCGATATATTGATCG